TGAGGAACGAAACAATTCATTTTATAAAATGTTAGGGACGAAAAAATATATTTTGTGAAATGTGAAGGACTATGAATCAGATTATGTAAAAATTGATTTGACAATTTTGCCCTTAAAAATGATCACATGCAAGTCACGTGATGGATTCCGACCAAAAACTAGTCGGAAACCTAGGTAAAGGGAATGGAAATGGGCATGATGAGGGCTGATGTTCATGAGGATTTGGAGGCAACTATGGCTAGCTTTTTGTGTGGATTGAGGGATGAAATTGCTGAAATTGTGGAGTTACATCATTACCTTGATTTAAATGAGTTGTTGGATAAGACGGTGAAGGTGGAAAGACGCCTCAAGAGGAGGGGTAACACTCAATCAAATCCCACCCATCAAGCTGGGAATTGGCGAAACTCGCCCTTAAGAAATGAGGACAAAACCATAGGAGCTTTTGAACCACCAAAATCGAGACCAAATGATGCTAAACAGCACCTAAGGCCGAGATGGTAATTAGCCAAAGAACTCCAAAACCACGAAGTCGGGATGCTAAATGCTTCAAGTGTCAAGGTTTTGGACACATAGCATCTCAATGTCCCAACCATAGGACCATGCTTATCTTGCCTAATGGAGAAGTGGTGTCGGATGATGAGGACGATTGTGAAGGTATGACACCTTTAGTAGAGGAAAGCCACGACTCGGAGGAAGAATTGGCATTTGAAGGGAATGTTGGAGTCTTTGTAGTAAGGAAATTGCTTGCTGCCCGAGCAATAGAGGAGAAAGGTGTGCAAAGAGAGAACTTATTCTACACTCGTTGTCACATTAAGGACAAGTTGTGTAGTTTAATAATTGATGGTGGAAGTTGCACAAATGTGGCGAGTTTGTTCATGGTTGAGAAATTGTTTCTTCTATCCACCAAGCACCCTAAGCCATATCAACTTCAATGGCTAAATAATGACGGTGGTGAATTGTTTATAGACAAGTGAAGGCACCATTTCGCATTAGTAAGTATGAAGATGAAGTGGTGTGCGATGTGGTACTAATGCAAGCGAGTCACTTGATCTTAGGTTGCCCTTGGCAATATGACAAAGCTGTCCACTTCGATGGTTGAACTAACAGGTATTCCTTCATACATGGTGATCAAAAGATTACTCTTGTTCCTTTTACCCCTAGACAAGTCCATGAAGATGAAGTAAGACTACATGAAGAATATGAGCTAGAATGTGAACAAAAGAAAATGTCAATGCGTGAGCAAGAAAAGGAAATAAGTTTGGCCGAAAAAGAGAAGAAGAAAGCAGCATTGGTGTGCATAACTAAAGACGAGCTAAATCCTTCTTATGGAGATATTGGGGCTGATCACGTGCCAAATCAATTTGCAAGTTTATTCAAGAGTGAGGAGTTTGGCTTCATGGGAGCTATTTTGCATCATTTTGAGGACCCTTACCTCACGCATACAAGTGAATTAGTTGAGCATACATTAAAGTTGGTTTGTGAGATTCAAGAAGCTAAACGATGTCTTTTCCAACTTGACAAGTGGAGGGTTTTTCTTTGGATGACACCTTGGCTTATGATCATGACAAGGCTGACCCGTCGGCATGTCATTCGAATTGTCACCCTTCGTGCTTCGATTTGTGGGCAAATCGCCTTTAAGAGGAGAGGAATGATACGGGATCTAGCTGCTAAAGAAGCCAAGCCAGCCGTTGAGCCTAGCTAAGGCTATAAAGAGTCATTTTTCCTTAGTTAATGTTATAGTTTTTTGGTTTGAGTTTCTTTATGCTTGTGCCGTTTGCCTAGATTAATTCCAGCAGCTTTAATTTATCAAGTTGAGTCATTAATTAATGGAATAAATGGCTAAAAGATCATATTGACCATAGTTAGTATCCGAGTTGGAGTCAATTCGTAGAGTTAAGTGGAGTTAGAGTTAAGTTTCGTATTTGCTAGTTGGATTAGGAGTTTGGTCTTGTAAAAGGCTATAAAATGCCTTAGCTTTAATGTTTTTAGGGCATTGAATAAAGTTGAGAAAATTTTCCAGATTTCTTTCATGAATGAAAGAGCTCTTCTTGGCTTGTGAAGCCACCATTGAACATCTTAGAGTTGCCCTAAAGTGATTCGTCAACTTATCAATCAAGTATTCACTTACCAACAAAATTTGTGGGCAATCAAACTTATGGTATTGTCCTATCCGTTCTAGTCTTTCTTGTGCGGTCCAAGATAGATTATGAACTCCATCCCTAAGTGTTGATTCCTAACCTAGATCCGGGCTTGTGGTTAATGTTCTTGATTCGTTTTAGCATTTCAAGAATCGTATCACAAGGATTAGGGTTTTAGGGTTAGGGTTTAGGGACTAGGGTTAGAGATTTAGTGTTAGGGTTAGGGTTAGGGTTAAAAATAAATAATAAATAAAAGAAATCGCAGCACATGAAATCTGCGATGATTCCTTTTAATAAATTTTCAATTCGTCGCAGATTTCATGAGCGGCGAAGCATTTAAAAAAAAATTCCTCTCCCTTAATTTCGATGCCAAAAAAAATTTAAAATTTAAAACAATTTTCGATGAAGCCTCTCTTACGATTTGCGGCAACCCTTAAAGTAGAACACCCAACCAACTAACACCACTTTTGTAATATTTTCTCATTTTAATGTTATTCCGGGAAATTCGCCTGATTAAAGGGGTGTTGGTGAATTCCACAACAGATGGATTGATATTTACATTTTTTAAAATAATTTGATTTTCACATAACGTAATGATGATGATTTTTTTTGGAAATTTTTTATAATTGCAAATGTTTGTATTACTTGAAAGCCTAAGGAAAAAAGTGTAACTCTCCCCACTAAATTGCATTTGGGGCCTAGAAAGAGAAAAAAACCACCTAAGAAGGATAAATGATTGAAATAGTTTCAGCAACAAACAACAATCACAGGAAATTTGGCCATTCTTCTTAATTTACAAAATGTACAATGACGTCAAATTTATAATAGGGTTCTAAAACTAATGAAATAGGATTCGTTATTTACACAATGAATAAAATTATTTACAATAGTGACCTTATAATGTACAACGTGTTCATAACCATGTACATCTTGGAATAGCTACTCGCTTTTGTCACTAAAGAACTTCAATTATAGTATAGGCTACAATTTTTTTTAATTACAGAATAGACTACTCATTAAATAAAAGCGGAATATGACACAAGTTTTGTTGGTGTTTGTCTAAAACTTTACTGTAGTGCACTGTAGAAGTTTTTGAAAAAATTTTGTAGAAGTTTTTGTTAGGTGAAAAATTTTGTAAAAGTTTTTGTAAGGTGAAAAACTTTTTTTTTCTTTTTTTTTTCTTTCCCTTTCTTTTTCTTTTTCTTTTTCTTTCTTTCCTTTTTCTTTTCTTTCCTCTCTTTTTCTTCTTCTTCTTCTTCTTCTTCTTCCCCGTTACCTCCACCACCCCCAGCTGCAACTCCACCTCCCGCCGTCCCCCTCTGCCCCTTCCCCCTCCCCCCGCCTTCCCTCTCTCCCCCGCCTCCTCCTCCCGCAGCCTCTCTCTCCCCCGCCTTCCCCCCGCAGCCCCCCTCTGCCCCTCCCCCCGCCTTCCCTCTCTCCCCTGCCGTCCCCCTCCCTGCCGCCTTCCCTCCTCCCGCTGCCTCTCTCTCCCCCATCTTCCCCCCGCAGCCCCTCTGCCCCTTCCCCCTCCACCTTTCCCTCTCTCCCCGCCTTCCCTCTCCCCGCATTCCCCCCCCCGCAGCCTCTCTCTCCCCCGCCTTCCCCCCCGCAGCCCCCCTCTGCCCCTCCCCCCGCCTTCCCTCTCTCCCCTGCCGTCCCCCTCCCTGCCGCCTTTCCCTCCCCCCCCCGCTGCCTCTCTCTCCCCCGTCTTCCCCCCGCAGCCCCCCTCTGCCCCTTCTCCCTCCCCCTCTGCCCTGGCCCCCCTTCCCCCTCCTCCCTCCCCCTTGGCCGCCCCTCTCTGTGCCACCCCCCTCTGCGCCAGACGTAAGAGAGAAAAAAAAAATAAGGGAGGATGATGGCAGGGGAGGAAGAGGGGGAGAGGGAAAAAAATGGGGAAAAAAAAAAGACCGGCACCGGAAATTGGTGACGGAGCCGGCAATGGAGGTGGTAGTGAGGGAGGAAGAAGAAGAAAAGGGGAAGGGAATATTTTTTTGTTGTGTTTTGGATATTTTAAGTGTGTAGGTTAAAAACTTTGATAAGTTTTTTGGGGTTCCTGTAGCAAAAGTTGTTAAAAAATTAGTTTTATACAAATTTGGTAAAAAATCAAGCTTTCAAACAAGCCCTAGATTCTATAGGTTGGGGTTTGGACTTTAGAGTAGAACAGCGGTATGAGAAATGCTGGGCCAACTGTAGGCCTGCCAATTGGACCATTTGAGTCGGGCTTTAATAAGTCTGGGTTTGACTCATATAATTTGTATCACTCTCGAATTTCGAATTATGAGTTTCGAATTGATAAATATGAAATTCATACTTAACTCACAAAATATTCGAGTTGTGAATCTAATTTAGGTTTAGCCCAAATTCACTTATTATCTCTTAATTTCCTTAATATAATTATTATAACTATTAATTTTAAAACTAATTTAACTTTCACAAGATCACAATATTAAATTATACATGAACTAGTAACATCATTAAAAAGTACATACAAAAAACTCCGTATACCTAATATATAGAAAAATTCCCTTGTGGTTTTAAAATATACAAAACCACATCTTATATTTTGAACTAAATTATAAATTTAACGGAATCCGGTAAATTTAACGAAAAATTTAACAGAATCCGGTAAATTTAACGGAATCCGGTGACCGTCATTTTTGTTAACTTTAATGAATTCTGTTAGTTTACAATTTAATTCAAAACATGCGATGTCGTTTTGTATGTTTTGAAATCACGAGATTTTTTTTTTTTTTGTGTATTATGTATATCACATGGAACTTTTTTGTTTTTAACCAAAAAAAAAAAAGAAGACAAACTGTAGTGTTTACCTGTCCGCACTGCAAAATGCCCACTCGGCCTCTCACCTACCACTTCCATGCCAACCAAGCAGCACCTAACTTCTTAGAATTGATCTATAATTTGGTCTATTTAGTTATTGCTGTTCTTGTTCAAATCGAAAAGAAGGCTAAAACAACTTCAATTTTCCTTCTGCATCCGTTCTCACAATTTGAATACCATAACAGATTCAAGTTGGCTGAGAAACAAAAGCATAGAAGCTTCTAAATTTAAAGCTGCCCACCAAATATGTTGTCCTCAATTTCAACGCCTGCTGTCATCACTTGCAAGGGTAGCATTCTGCTTCTGTCCTATGCACATCTTCAGATTAAGAAATCAGTTGTTATCAATTGATCCCATCTTAGTTTTTTATTTTATTTTTTTTTGGCCCTGTTTTTTAAGAGTTTACTTGTATTCATTTTCCATATGCAGCTGCTGTGGCATGGGGAGCTGGAGAAGCACTGGTGATGGAGGAGGTGGAAGTCAGCCCTCCCCAGCCTATGGAGATTCGTATCAAGGTTGTAGCTACTTCACTTTGTCGCAGCGACGTTACCGCTTGGCTTTCCCAGGTTAATTCTAGGAAATTTGCTTGTGTTTGTTGTTCTTTGGTGCTCTTGGAATTGGATAGATCAAAGAATTGGTGATATACTTAACAAGAACCAGAGCTTTGCATAAGAAACATGATGACAATTCATTCATTCAATTTTCATGCCCCAAAAAGAATATATAGAAGATTAGCACCATTGTACAGGGAATAGTAAAATGATTGTAATCATGGAACGTACTCCTCATAAATAACATGTGCAGCGGAAGAATGTTTTTTCGGTTCTTGTTTTTGGGAGCTCTCATCCTGCAGGGACAAAGATTTTTGAAATTGGTTTTGAGTATGTTGAATTACATGGGTAAAAGTATTTCAAGACATTGGGACATACAGTTGCACCTGTTCTCAATCCCAGTGTTGGCTTAGGCAGGCCTGGTCTATGTTGTGTCTAATTTGACTTGCATGTTCATTTATTGCTTACAATGTAGTCAATTTTGAAGATGCTATTTACTTTAGATTCAGAAATAAAAAAGATGAAGAATTCGGTAATACGTACTTGATGCTTATAAGATTTTGTTTTAATTTTTTTTTTACCTTTTCCGGAAAAAGATAACACGATGGTAATTTTCTTTTTTAATCTCTTGCTTTGTTGTCTACATCAACTTTTTAAAGTTCATTCAAGTACCTTTTTCCTGCTAAAATTACACAGTATCATCTTTGGTAAGGAAGTGCTGAATTATCCTTCTTGAAACAAGGATTTATTGGCCTTTTTTGTTTCTCTGTTTCACTTTGGAGTAACACAAAGATATGTTCTTTCAAATTCTGTTTCTGCAGGCACACATTCATATATTTCCCAGGATTTTTGGGCATGAAGCATCGGGGTGAGCCCTACTTTTCACTTGTCCTAGTTAAAGGAATAGGTTTTGAGGGATGCTGTTGAATCTTGTTATAGATATTTTTGCCCCATTTAGGTGACTTCAAACTTTTCATTGTCCCTTTCGAACGTTGTAAATGCTGTGACTTAGAGCTCATGTTAGTATAACTAGAAAGTAGGCATTAGCTAAAGGAAATCTGCTCTAGTGCTGGAAGTAACTACATTATGAAATGCATTTTCTTCAACAATTAATCCTCTCAAACGCTAATAGTTTATCAATATGAATAATTCTCTCTATCATCTATGATGCATTGGTCGTTAATGAATTAGAAGCATGTGGTCACTTGTTCTGGTGAATTGCAGCTAAAAATATTAGTCGAGGACAATTTTGCTATAATGGCTATATTGATTATTTTTATTTTGGAGGTTTGTATTGCAGTGCGCTTATCTGGTATTTTAACAAGTTCAATATCTACCCAATTGATTATCTGCTCTAGGAGAAGCCTGATGAAAGATTATTTAATTGTGTGCTTATGCAGTATTGTTGAGAGTGTGGGGCAAGGAGTAACTGAATTTGAACCAGGAGACCATGTCCTAACTTTGTTTACTGGAGAATGCATGAAATGTAAGCACTGCACCTCAAATAAAAGCAATATGTGCCAGGTGCTAGGCTTGGAACGGCAAGGTCTAATGCATAGCGATCATAAAACACGCTTCTCAATAAAGGGGAAGCCTATTTTCCACTATTGTGCAGTTTCAAGTTTCAGTGAATACACAGTTGTGCATTCTGGATGTGCTGTTAAAATTTGCTCGACTGCTCCTCTTGATAGAATATGCCTGCTCAGTTGTGGTGTTGCAGCAGGTAATATCCTTTTTCCCTAGGTTCAGGCATATCCAACAATTTAAAGACTGAAAACGCTGGTCCTAAGTATCAACTCTGGTTCAGGGTGCTTAGGTCTGATGAAAATCAAATTCAGAGCAGAAACTTGGAAGGATCATGTTTTTCAGTCATCTTAAAACTTCTAAATTGGGGGCTCTGCATTTTTTTTTTCAATGAAGTGATGTACTTACAAGCATAACATTTGTATATTTGGATGATTTAGTGTGCAAAATTAGGAATAAAACTCCATCGGCAAAGTACTCTCTACTACATCAGTTTTCCGATGTTTTCTCATTTGTACGGAGTTAAAGATAACTTTTAATTAGTTGACACATCAATGGAAGAACTTGCACAGTGCAGAATTTAGGGAATGGGACAGCTTTTCAAGACGTTGTCAAACCTTGGAGCAGGCATAAAATTCCTGCATCCCTAGACTCTTAAATAAAGTGTTTTGTTGGAGTTTCACAATAATTCTATTTCTATTTTATGTGGAATATATCATCTCTTTAACTGAAATGTTAATATATTTATAAGAAAAGTAGCGGTTAAAAGGAGGAGATAAAAACTTCTAGTTATGCAACATATAGCTTTAACTGAGATGTCAAGGATGGAAGAAGGAAAGTGACTGCTGGTGACAAGACAAGAAGCTATACCAACAAAGAAACTTGATTTAATTATTCCCCTCGGCTTTCCTTTCAGATTGAAAGTTGATAATGAAAAGATGTGTATGTATTATTATATGATTAACTTGTTAAATGATCAAGAAGTAAAAGGCTGTACATCCAGCTATATGGTGCCAGAATGGCTCATATCTTACCATTGCTTGTAGAACTGGCTATGATTACCCTCATTTCTCAGTATTCTTCAGGATATTTTGTCAATAATTCTTTGGTGTTAGTTTGACGCATTAGTGCTGATGTTCTTTCTTTTTACTTCACATAAAACAGAATGATCTCCATTTTGTGTGTTTGGAATGTTTTGAACCAGAATGATTGACAAAGAAATTTGAATTCATAGTTCCCAAGGTCTTAATCTTTTTCAAAGGAAAGAACTTCAGCTTGTGATGATCAAGTTCATGTTAAGAATTAAAAGTGTGTCAGATTTCTGCACTATTTTCTTTTTGTCAGCTATGACAAATTTAAATACTTTGTCCCATAAAATGGTTAAATTCCTTTTAATCCTTTTAACTCTACACATGATATTCAGTTACTACGAAATATATTCGCTAGTTGGTGCTGATTATGCCTCATATTTAAATCAATTCCTAGGACTAGGTGCAGCTTGGAAGGTTGCTGACATATCTGAAGGGTCAACTGTGGCCATTTTTGGTCTTGGAACTGTTGGTCTTTCTGTGAGTGAAATCACCTGCAGAAGATAACCAAGTTAGGGCTTTTTTTCACCCAACCAGGATGCTTGTCATGCAATACTTTCTGTTTGACAGGTTGCCCAAGGTGCTAAGCTAAGGGGAGCATCTCGAATCATTGGCATTGACATTAATCCTGAAAAGAGCGAGAAAGGTATCTGACTTATTTTCTTTTGCGTCAATGTCTTTTTTTTTACAACCATGAAACCCACAATTTGGCCTACATTGTGGCCTGTGTTGTTCATGATTTACTACCTGTTGCAGCAAAGGCTTTTGGAGTAACGGACTTTTTAAACTCAAGTGAATGCAAAGAACCAATTCAGCAGGTATTCTTTCTTCAGTAAGAAGCATCTGTATTAAGTGGGCATTTTTTTCCTTCCAATAAGTCATTAGTTATAGATATGAGCCATAGGGAGTGCACAGTTTCTGAAGGAAAAGAAATAGAAAAGAATGTGGTAATAATAGTGACAATAGGTATCTTGGGAGGAAAACATTTAGTCACCGTATTATGAGTGACCAATTAGTATTTATAGGAGTACAAACCTATCAAATTATTTACAAGAATACCCTTACTAATTTATTATCTATAAGAATACTTATATTCTCTTAACACTCTCCCTCAAGTTGGAGCATATATATCATAAGCACTTAACTTGTTACAAATGTATTTCACCCTAGAGCCTCCTAAACTCTTGGTAAACACATTAGCCAATTGATCTATAGACGGTACATGAGATGTCTTGATGACCCCGTCAAGCAATTTCTCTCGAATGAAATGACAATCAATTTCAATATGTTTTGTCCTTTCATGAAACACTGGATTAGACGCAATATGAACAGCTGCCTGATTATTACACACTAAATTCATAGGCTGTTTATGCTCAAACCCAAGTTCCAGTAACATGCTCTTCAACCAAACCAACTCACACACAATGTGAGTCATAGCGCGGTATTCAGATTCTGCACTTGATCTGGATACAACTGTTTGCTTCTTACTCTTCCACGACACTAAATTACCACCAACAAACACACAATATCCTGTAGTCGATCTTCGATCTAAGGCAGAACCAGCCCAATCTGCATCACTATATCCTTCAATATCAGTGTGTCAATGATTTTGATACAACAACCCTTTTCTAGGAGCACTCTTAAGATACCTGAGAATCCGTATAACAGCATCCCAATGACTAGTACGAGGGGTATCAAGAAATTGACTCACAACACTCATTGCAAACGAAATGTCAGGTCTCGTTACAGTGAGATAATTTAATTTACTCACAAGTCTTCGATATTGCTTAGGATCATCAAGTAATGCACCTTGATCTCCTGCTAATTTCATATTGGGATCCATAGGAGTATCCACAGGTTGGCAACCTAACATCCCAATTTCACTCAACATATCGAGTACATATTTTCTTTGACATAAATAAATCCCATATTTAGACTGAACTACCTCAATACCCAGAAAATACTGTAGATGACCTAAATCCTTTGTCTGAAAGTTTGCCTGCAGATTGGATTTAAGTTTCTGGATCCCCACAACATCATCACCTGTAATCACAATGTCATCCACAGAAACAACTAATAAAATTTTATCAGCATTAGAATGCCGATAAAATACAGAGTGATCTACTCCACATCTTGTCAGACCGAACTCCATGACAACACTACTAAACCGGCCAAATCAAGCTCTCGGAGACTGTTTCAATCCATAAAAGGATTTTTTCAAACGACAAACTAACCGCGGATTCTCCCCCTGAACAACAAATCCAGGAGGTTGTTCCATATATACCTCTTCTTCCAAATTTCCGTGCAGAAATGCATTTTTTACATCCAACTGATGCAATGGCCAATTATAAGTTGCTGCCAAAGCGATAAGAAGACGAACAGAGGTAATCTTTGCAACAGGAGAAAATGTTTCTAAGTAGTCTACTCCATACACCTGAGTAAATCCTCTAACTACCAGACGAGCCTTCAATCTATCAATAGAATAATTATGCTGCACTTTTATAGTGTACACCCATTTACAACCAATAACAGGCTTACATGAAGGATGAGGGACAAGATCCCAAGTACCATTTTGTTCCAAAGCAGACATCTCTTCTTGCATAGCTAATCTCCAACCAGGATGATTAAGAGCATAGGTAATAGACTTAGGAATGGAGATAGAATCAAGGGAAGCAACAAAAGAAGAGTATGACATAGAGAGATGAAAATAAGAAACAAAATTAGAAATAGGATGGGAAGTACAATTTCTCTTACCTTTGCGTAAAGCAATAGGAAGATCTAACTCAGAGGAGAGCGTCATACTTGGATTTGAAGATTGAGTGTTAATTGGTGAAGTGCGTGGCATATCAGGAACTTTATCAATCATGGAACGACGAGAGTAAACTTGAAGATGAGGACGAAATAATCGAGCTATGGAATTTGGTGGACTAGATAACTCAGGTAATAAAGGGGAAGGGGCTGGTAAAACAGGAGAGGAAAAAGAGGGACACTGGTCTAACTCACAAGACATACTTTGTTTGATAAAATATGCAGTGGATTCAAAGAAAGTAACATCAGCACAAGTAAAAAATCGATTTAAAACTGGATTATAACATCTATACCCTTTATGCGCTCGTGCGTATCCTAAGAAAATACACTTAATAGCACGAGAATCTAATTTATCCATCCAGGGAGAAAGTTGATGAACAAAGCACACACATCCAAAAATACGAGGAGGCAATTTAAATACAGGTTCATGAGGAAAAAGAATGGAGTGAGGTAATTGACCCCCAAGAATATTAGATGGCATGCGATTAATTAAATAACATGCAGTTAGAATTGCATCACTCCAAAATTGTTTGGGCACATTCATGTGCAACAGCAGTGTTCGAGCAATTTCGATTAAATGTTCAATTTTTCTTTCAGCAACTCCATTCTGTTGTGGAGTGTGAGGATAAGAGAACTGATGAATAATACCAGATTTAGTCATAAAGGTATTAAAAGGAGTGGAAAAATATTCTTTCGCATTATCACTGCGAAGTATACGTACAGGCACACCAAATTGATTATTTATTTCTGTAACAAATGCACAAAAAATGAAATATAATTCTGAACGATCTTTCATTAAATAAAGCCATGTAACTCTGGAAAAATCATCAACAAAAACTACAAAATATTTAAAACCTAACTTTGAAGTGACTCGACTAGGACCCCAAACATCAGAATGAACTAACAAAAAGGGTTTAGAAACCCGTTTATTGACTCTAGGAGCAAAAGAAACACGATGATGCTTTCCTAACTGACAAGACTCACATTCTAATGAAGATAATTGACTTAAAGTAGGAACCAACTTTTTCAAATTTTGTAAAGACGGATGACCTAAACGACAGTGAATTTCAAGAGGAGAAATAGTAGCAGGTCATGCTATCGGACCATTGAAGTTGAGAAAGTAAAGACCATTATGCTCATGCCCTCCACCAATCGTCCTCTTTGTTTTCAAATCCTGAATGACAACAGAATCAGGAGAAAAAGTAACTGTACACTGTAGAAATTTAGTGAGCTTACTAACAGACATTAGATTAAAGGGCAAATTGGGTACGTAAAGAGCAGAAGACAGCGGAAGTGATGGATTAATTTCTACAGTGCCTAGTCCTTTAACTTTAGTGGTAGATCCATCAGCTAAAGTAACATGAGGAAAGGGAGTAGACTCTTGAAAATTAGAAAAAATTTTAGAGGTACCTGACATATGATCAGTAGCCCCGGAATCAATAATCCATGAGTCATTACCTTTTTGTGCTAAAGAAGCAGAGGGAAGAGATGCGTGATTTGTAGCTTAGTACTGTAGGAATTTAACATAATCTTCCTCAGATATAGTAACAGTCTTCTGGGACCCATGTGCTGAAAAACTCGATTCAATTTTGTCAGTGGTAACCGCATTAACAAACCTTTCAACCATGACGAATAGCACGTCAAACCAAAGACGGTCAAAACTCGAGATGACAGTGACGGAACAGTGCCGTGAACAGTGAACAGTGTCGCGTGAACAGTGTCGCTTGAACAGTCGCGATGACCAAAACTTTTGCTAGATGTTTAACCCTAACCCTAGGACTTTTGCTCTGATACCATGACAATAGGTATCTTGGGAGGAAAACATTTAGTCACTGTATTGTGAGTGACCAACTAGTATTTATAGGAGTACAAACCTATCAAACTATTTACAAAAATACCCTTACTAATTTATTATCTACAAGAATACTTATATTCTCTTAACAAATAGCACAGAGGAACTTTCTAGGCGGTGAGAATTTTTCTTCAACTGTTGAACACATCAAATGAGATGATTATATATATTTCTTTCTATTGTTGGGTTGCTTTGAGTCATTTCAAAGTCTTAAATGCATGTATGTTGTCTCTCTAGTTGCGTGCATACAAGTGTGTGATCTTCACGTGATGCATGGCATAGTTTTACAGGTTATAAAACGCATCACAGATGGAGGGGCTGACTACTCCTTTGAATGTATTGGAGATACAGACATGATTACAACTGCATTACAGTCTTGTTGTGATGTAAGTATCCACCTTGGCTATTAATTTTCATAGCTTGGATCTGTTCTTCACCTTATTTGCTTGTTTGCCACTTTTTTAGGGATGGGGCATGACTGTTACTCTTGGTGTACCAAAAGTGAAGCCAGTGATAACAGCTCATTATGCATTTTTTCTTACTGGAAGAACATTAAGAGGTTCCCTTTTTGGGGGATGGAAACCAAAATCTGATATCCCAACATTGGTGGACATGTATTTGAAGAAGGTAAGTTGTGCTTTTTACTATATTATCAGGTTAAGCAAGACTCATCTCTATTGACAAAGCTTTTACCATCATTTTCATAGATAAAAGGCTCCTTGTGGCTGTCAGTTATGCCTTGCCTAACATATTTCTTATAGCCATTTAATGCATGAGTTATTCCTGTTATAACTGTTCTTTCAGCAATCAAAACATCTTGTTTTCATAATGGTCTTGTCCAAAAGTAAATTGTAGAGCTTAGTGGAAATGTAGTTATAATTCCTAGGGTTGAGGACTAATTAAATACCTTGTGCCTTAGCCAAGTTATCAGTAGCTCACTACACAAATTTGGTTGATCTCTCAAGCTTGCCTATATGTTCCATGTTGGATTTGGAGCGTTAGCCTTAGTTCCTCCCTTCCATAGGGCCCTAACTTTCTATTGGCTGACTCCAATCAGTCCAAACCCAGGACCTTACCAATCTGTGCAGAATTGCATAGAGCTTCTTGAGATGGTTCCTGCTTGATTCCGGGAGTAGCACTTAGTCCTACAGAATACAGTAGTTCACTGTTTCCTGAACATTTTCACTGCCCAACCCAACAGATATGCTCCCGTCCCAAGCACAAAAAAAAAAAAAAAGAAAAAGAAAAAGAAAAAGGAATCTGGACACTAACACCAACAATCACAAGTAGTCTGTAACTTTTGGACCTAAAGAATAGCTGAAAATGCTTGACTGAAGTTTTTAGTGCCTAGTACAATAGGTATCGTTCATCAATTAAGCTTTCCCTACCTAACCCGTGGTATTTGTGGTGTTACAAAAAGACTTTTACTTGCATCCTTGCTGATGGTAGCTTATTGATAGCTTGAACTGCTTTATAGAGCCTGGTAAGTCTATTAAGCATACTTCAAAGTTTAGGCCTGAATGTAGACTTAACTCTGCTTATATCAAAACTTCTTCCTCAATTTAAGATAAGCACTGAAGCTCAAGTCATAATAGCATAACGACTGCATATATTCGTTGCACGATAGTTGAGGAAAATCATTCTTTGTTAGGTAATGAAACATACTTAAAAAGAAGAACAACTAGATAAGTCCACTTTACATAACTATTTGCAATTTTTTAGTACACGCTCTCTCAACCACAAAGTCAAGAGAATTTTCCATAGTTGTTTCCTTTATAAACTGACAAGCATTTTGTGTGCATAAATTGATTTTTCATAATTTTGTGCCTGTAATTTTCCAGGTCAAGCATGTAAGCCATCAGCATTGTTTTAAGCTATTATGTATGTACTTTGCCTTAGTGCAAATATACTTATAAAATCTCTCTCCAGTTACTAGTGCACCACCACTACCACCACCACCACTACCACCACCATTGCTTTTGCACCTTCCCCATTCCTCTTCTCTGCCTCATAACCATCTTGAAGTGTCATCTGCATTAATTCCATCAATGACCTTCTGTCCCTTTGGCTCCATTGGAGTGGTGTGTTTTTTGGGAATTTGTTTAATATTTTACCGTAACTTACTGTAAAATTTTTACGAAAAGTTTGAGAATGGTTGAAAAACTTTCCTTTTTTTTGTTCCTTTTCTTTTTTCTTTTTTCCTTTCTTTCCTTTCTTCTTCTTCTTCTTCTTCCTCCTTAACCCCGGAGAGGGACGGATAACGAAGAAGGAAAAAAATTAGTCAGAGGGTGAGGTGGTGGTGGCGGTGGCTGTAGTGGTTGGCTCAGGTGGGGATGAAGGTGAGTGGAAGTGAAAACGGTTAGGGAGGGTGGTGGTAGAAGAGGGAGATGGTGTATGTTTTTAGGTATTTTAGAGGGAAAATCATTCAAAACATCCTTCATATTTTGCAATATGACTTTTTATCCCTTACTTTTAAAAGTGTAATTTTACGTCTCTTAGGAATTTACATTGATTAAATTTGATCATTACCTAGGTTTCTGACTAGTTTTTGATCGGAATTTACTACGTACCTTGCATGTGATCATTTTTTAAAGGCAAAATTGCCAAATTAAATTTTACATAATTCGATTTATAGTCTCTCACATTTCACAAAATGAATTTTTTCGTCTCTAACATTTTACAAAATGAATTATTTTGTCCCTTATATTTCACAAAATAAAATTTTCATCTCTTACAATTTTCAAAATGGATTTTTTAATCCCTCATTGATCATGTGTACGAATAGTTTTTTTTTTTAAATCCGTGTATATATCTATTGGTTTCACCTTAATAGTACGAATAATATGTAATATATCTCTATTTGATTTTACCTAAACAAGCTAATCGTAGTTGTACACATTCTATTCAATAGATATATACAGTTTTCAAAACTAATAATTTTGTTTTAAACCCATGTATATATCTATATGATTTCACCATGTGAACATATTCAATATTTGTGGCCTTTCTCTTTTGATAATAATTTATTTATTGAATTGTATAATACAGCCATGTAATTAATCGGTCATAATTCGAATTCTATAGTCGTGCTAACAAATTGCAGTTTACGTATGAAATTTCTACTCGTCACTTTTAAGACCAACAGTTGAATTACTTGTCTTGTGATTGTCTTAAAATTTGAAAGTGCCAATCATTTATTTCTTTTTGTCATATTTTTCATTTGTCTTTTTTTTGTCCAAATTTAATTCGATATAAATACTTGATAATGTTTAGAATTAAATGACTTCTTTGTTTTCAATTTTCAAGTAAAAGGAAATGAATATGAGTGAAAAACTAACAATTTTTTAAACTTATGTATATATTTATTTGATTGCACCTGAATAATACAAAATAGCATGTAATATATCTCTATTTGATTTCGTCAGGTGAAATCAAATAGAGACATATTACATATTATTCGTACTATTCAAGTGAAATCAAATAGATGTACACATGGGTTTAAAAAAAAAAATTATTTGCACACACGATTAATGAGGGATGAAAAAATCTATTTTGAAAAATGTGAAGGATGAAAAAATTCATTTTGTAAAATGTGAGGGATGACAAAATTCATTTTATGAAATGTGAGGGACTATCAATCGAATTATGTAAAATTTGATTTGATAATTTTGCCCCTAAAAATGATTATGTACAAGGCATGTGGTAGATTTCGACTAAAAATTAATCGAAAACCTAGGTAGGTACCAAATTTGATCAATGTGAATTTGTAAGGGACGTAAAATTATTCTTTTAAAAGTGAGGGACGAAAAAAGTCATTTTGTAAAATGTGAGAAGTGTTTTGAACGAGTGTATTTTTATAAAATTTAGGGTGCTTTTACAAGTTCCTGTAGCTGAAGTTGGAAAAAACTTTATCTAAAACAAACAAGCAAAAAATAAGGGTGCCAAACGGAACTATTACTATTATCGTCTGGTACTTGGGACATAACATACCCTGTGACTGACCCACAAGGCACAAGGGAACAAAGTTAAACTAATTTCAAATCCATCAAAATATCAACATAGTCGACAACCATAGACAACATTTTGTTCTTCAGAACCTTAGTAAATAAAAATTCATGAATTCAAATCCAATGATTGCACGACAAATGTATACACGACTATTGTCAAATGCTTACAAGGCTAAAGGGAAGGGGATGCTCTGCATTAATTTACATTTCCTTAGCTACAATTATCTCTTCATTAGGATTAGCTTCTAAAGTCCCACATCCTTCAATTGAACCTCTTTAATTGGTAAAATATCTACAAAATGCTAATGAGTGAGATTAGTGACAACTTGTTCAGTAAGTAGCTCATGTACTTCTTTATTGGTTTGAGCGCGTTATCACAAATGTACTTCAGTAAGTAGCACATGTACTTCTTTATTGGTTTGGGCACATTACTTCTTTATGTGGTCATAATAAGCGTTTCAAATGCAAAGCACGCATCACAAAGTTTATAATCATAAATGATCTCAAGATATAAAGTTAATCATTGACCCTAGATATTCAGTTGTTAACTTGAACTATTAACAGGGTTTATAATGCTAACTAGCATATGGTTAGTCTGTTTTATATTGCTAACTATAAGACGGTTAGCCCATTTTATAATATCATAATACCAACTACCATATGAGGAACTACTTCCGTCAAAAGTCACTGTATACAAGAGCTCAATCACACAAGTCATTTACTTATTCACATTTGACCACAATCATGCACTCATAGTAGATCAATAGGTACAAGTTTGGCTACAGGTCAGGGGTTCAAACTTCTGCACCTGTAGTAAACTCCAAAAGGTGTAGTAGTAGTGCATCCCTTTGATCTAGAGTTGGGACCCTCTCCCTTTAGCCTCCCTTGGCCCAGTTGGGCCCTGCCCTAATGTAGGTTAGAGCAGGAGTAAGAGTTGCTGATTAACAAAAAAAAAGTAGATCAATAACATATACACACACACACACATGCCACTTTGATATATAAATTAGCTTTCAAAGTTATAAGAGTTTGATAAATGTATTTTCAAAAGATAAGGAGTACATGCACTGCTTACCTTCACCAACCGAGCTAGCATCTAACTCAACTATGGACCATCTCAATAGAAATCATTTCTTACCTAAACATATTAAAAATCCTTAGTTCAAACTCTAAAACCTCTTACGTATTCTAATTTATCACAAAAAGGACCCTAGACACCACCCTTAGGTAGTAACGTATGGCAAAGGTCATAAACTAGTTTAAATGAAACGCATAGATTAACTTTAATCCTTCACCGACATCCATAGATACCAAATCAGGGTCATATGCTTATACATATTTAAAGCTCTCTAAATCTAGTTTCCAGCGCCACTAAATGGCATACAATTCCGAGATTCCTATGCAAAGATATGGCCAATTTACTAAAGTGTGACTGTGTTGTGAGCCGAATCTGGCCCAAGGATGCATGAGGGATCCAGCAACGGATTCAAGGGATGGGTTTGAGGTAGAATCGAGTTCCAGTTTCGGTTTTCAAGTTCTATTTCCACCTAAATCATCTCCAACCCTCCCTAATTATCAAAATCAACATTTTTGCATACCACAATCATATTATTACATAAA